ACCCCATGTACTAGTAAGCATTTGGCTTCCTTTCACAGCTCCATTTATATTGAACTTGATCGTACCCTTCACAGAAACAGACCTAACCAGTTTCTTTCTAATCCTAGGCAAGCATTAGATACTCAATGATGAAATAAATTTATTGAGGATGAAGAATTCAGGCATTAAAGTTTAACTCGAATTTAAAATAATAAAGTTCAATTGAAAAAATATTACATAATTTGATTAAAAGTATAAAATTTTATTAAAGTGTCTTCTTATAAAGTAACTTTTTACTTATTTAGTTTCCTTTGTAATTAAGTATACATCCCTATAAATAGATACTAAGAATAAAGATTAGATATCAAGTTTTTCTTTCTTCAAAATTCTCTTACATTGTTCTTCCTTCATATTGGTGGAATTATTCTCCTCTATTCTTGGTTTTTCCTTTTTAAGCTTTTTCACGTAAATCTTGATATTTTTTATTTCTTCTTTTTTTGATCGTGTTTAGTTGTTTGTCATAATCGTTATGATATTATAACAAATTAATATTAGAGTTTTGCAAATACTCTCTTTTTGTAATGAAATGGCAACAAAATATTGTCAAGTTTTATGATCTACAAGTTTCAACAATTTTAGATAATGCAATTGATATTTCCTCCTCCGTATCAAATAACATTATTATTCGATTAACTAAAAGAAGATTTTTTGTTGAACAATATAACAGTAGGCAAAATTGTTATTTAAAGCAGAAAATAGTTTAATTTCGTGGGTAAGACAAAATTGTTATTGGATTGACTAAAAGATTGAAGTTGAATAGTTAAAGTCCAATTTTCGATGAAATTCGAGTTTAGGGGAGATTTTTTATATTTGGACCTAAATTATAATTTGTGATTAAATTAGATTTTATTGTAATTCTAATGGTTGAAGATTTCTTGGTAATTGATTTTATTTAATAAAATAAATATTTATTTTAGGCAATAACTCTTATGGAATAAGAATTCTTGTGACCACTTATTTGGTTTTATAAATAGAGATTATGTCTTGATCTTTATGTATCTTATAGCTTTTGAGGTTTATATTATTGAGATAATTTTGTAGGGATGATGGAAGAGGGTTTTGAGATATACGAGTTTTTGTATCTATACTATGTTTTGGATACATGTGATATCATATATTTGTATGCTTCATGTTTTCTACATTTTTAATAGATTATTATTTATCTCATCCGTAGGGATAGAAAAAACCGAACTATGTTAAATCTTTTCTCTCATACAAATATTATTTTATGTTGATATCGCTTTAGTTATTTTTATTCTCTCAAATTTTTAACAATATATTTATTAGCATGACGCTATCACTTAATCCGAAGTTAGATTAGATAAAAAAAATCTGGTTTTCATCGAGAATCTTCTCTTGAAAAATGACAAATTATATAATTTACATATATTTTTATTTACAGATTAATAATATACTACCTAACTTAATCAATAAAAGAAATTATGATCTGCAATAACTCATTAATAAAATTAATTAATTAATATTTAATGCAAAATTTCTATTATTAATTAAATAAAATTAGAAACCCTAGAATAATCCGGACACTAGTAGTTTTAATAAAACCAAAAACCAAAAAAGAGGACACAACCACATCTGTCCACAAAAATGATAAATCCACTCCTCGAATAAGTAGCCAACAACCAAAAGCATTGAAACCATAACTTAGAAATTTCTAGAAATTTCATCATTAAATCATTGAAAACAGCCTCAGTCAAGACGATAATACATTTTAATCAGTCTGAATTCACCGTTTTTATCCCCCAAAAAACATATTATATAATATGGAGTTTATTCTTTACCACAAAATGTTTGGAAACAAAGCAGCTAAACCACTCCAATGATAAACTGAGGAATGAAAATATACAGCTGATTATGCAAAACGCAATCCGATTGATTATTTCTAACCGGCTCTCGGATCATCTAAAATATGAAGACCACACTGTCATGAACCCTAGACTTTTGGTTCTGAGCCACACATTCAGAGATCCACATCAGGTTCCTGATCTCCTGTTCTCTTAATCTCATGTATGCAAAGAAAACCCCATAATGGAACTGCAGGTCATCGTCCAAGAAAAGCAAATCAGAGATACATTGTTTAATAAATGAAGAAAATAGAGAACAAAAGGAAACAAAGTCAAGCATATGTCACCACTGTGCCTTTCCTCGTCTCCTGTTATTAACAAAGATAATTGATGATTGAGAAATTAAGTATTAACCTGTTGCTCAAAAGCTAAGCAAAGCCTTTTCACTTCCTCCTCGTAAAATGCCTTGTCAATCATCTGGCTCTCTCCATAAGATAATTTAGAGAAAATTGATTGGTAGGGAGGATATTTTTCCATAGCACCACGAACCTAGAAAGCAAACAAAGACAGAGATAATATCTCAAAGTAACTTCTTCTAAGCAAGCGTAGCATGTGAAACAAACCTGGTCAATATCCTCACAGACAGCAAGTTCCTCATGGCCATAGGGATAACTGTTTAACATGAAGTAGCACTTTCAGAGATAACAAACCCAGAGGAATCTATTACCCAAACTAAAGGAGCATAATCAGGCCTGAGAGAAAGAGCTTACAGAAGACCAAAATTCGAGTATAATTTCCTCCGGTCATCACGAGTTAGTTCAGTGCCAATGCTGCAAAAAGTAAACCACACCAAACATGTTTATTAGAAAATACATAGTAAGAAAGTAGCAATAGTAAATCTAGAAAACTACAAGAAATAATCCCTTTCCATATAGTACCTGTTAATGGTAATATTTACAGCCCTTCTGTCAGCCTCAAAGGCAAGGAGGTCAGACATGATCTCCGCTGTCGCACCACCAAGTTTCTGTGCGAAAAAAAAGGAAAAAAAAAAAGAATGTTCAAATTAACAGGTAGGGACTGAAAACAACTATAATATGCCATATGCAGAAGGAAAAGCCAACTTTCTTCTATATTAGAACCTTACTTGGCAAAATTTGTAGAAGTCTTCAAGGTATGCTTTGTAGAGTGTGTTCCTCATAATTTCAATGTTCATGTCATCAAGATCCTTGAGAAAATCAGAGATGAATGAACCCAAAATCAAAGGTTTAAAAATTACACCATTACACAAACAACACTCTAGCACAGCTAACAACGTATACGGAGAGAGTTACAGACAGGTAGTCAGAGAATTAATATGAAGAAACAATATCAGAAAGGTTGTTAGAACCCTATACCTCAGAGGTAATACACTCAGAGAAGTATGGAGCAAGTGGAGTGTCAACAAGAACCAATCTGTAGAGTTCACGCATGTTCTGAGCAACTGCCAGGGTTGCAATGCTGAAGCAGCAAAACAGGAAAGTGAGCATATGTATTATGTGAGGTCAGATAATAAGATGGTCTCTATTTAGGGGTTAGATTACCTGTCAAACATGCCCAAAGGATGGCACTTCTCCAGAAGCTCTTGAACATCTCTCTCATGCAAGGTTCCAGTAACAATCAGGACAACATTGTCTATCATGTGACCATATCTAAATGGAACGATCAAAAGATTAGGTTTTCTTAGGCTTTCACTAAATCCACAACCTATTAATCAATCTGCATCTCTATGCCATCTTAACAGACAGCTTTCCAAATATCACTGAGACAACTCAAAAAAGCTCAACCAAAGTCCGCTACCTTATAACTTGAGCTTAAAATTGATTAACCAGATCATGGTATGAAGGCCATAACCAACTCTTGTAGGGAATATATCAGATCACATTGTTTGCCTCCAATCTAATAGGCTAAATAGTTAACCAAACTGCATTAGCAGAAAAAGGATGTACACAATTCACACCACCATATCAAACCACTAGTACTCAGATGGTAGCGAACAAGCTGATCACTGCTAGTTATTAAATTAAACCCAGATCACGATATGTGAAATAAATAAAAGCCTTGGATATATCTAAGAGAAAGATAATTGAATATCTCTCAAGCAATCAAAGAAGAAACAAAAAGGACAAATCTTTACGTACGTGATATACTCTAAGAAGGTGGACAATGGCTCCGTAGCTTGGCATAACATATGCTTATACTCATCAACAAGTTTAAGAGTGCATTTCTCCACAATCGTAGTCGTATGCAAAGGTGAAGGTTCTACAAAGGATCAGAAAGTTTTATAATCAAATTAAAAGGAGATCCAATAATTCAAAAAAGTTATTAAGTAATTTAAAGTAACCCCATGAAGTTGTAATTAATATCAATTTCAACTCAATCCAAACGAAATCAATGAATTATCTTAGTAGATTTGAAATTGAGAAGTGAAGATCATGAAAGAAATATACCGTTTTGGAGATAAGGACCGTACTCGGTGGCGGAGAGATGCATCTTGATATCATCAAGGGTTTCGCATTGGCAAAGATTGTTGTAATCGGCGGCGGTTAAGAGTCCGGCCCTGTGACCTCTCACGATGGCTTCCAAGTATCCGCCGTGGATGTTGAATGTCATAGCTTCGAATCCGTACATTTTGGCCCTTTTTAAACTGATTTAAACAATTAAGATCTGAATTTGAGAACTGTGATTAAAAAACGAACCCTAAAGCTGCAGATTTGGGGAATTTATTTTCCTTCGGGGGATATGTGGTGGTAGGGAACGAAAGGTATCTGGAAATTACAGTTTAGATGAGAATGAGATCCATATCGTTGTTTGTGTTTTTGTGAATTCGCAAAATACTCCTCCAAATACTTTCTTTTTACATTTCTTATATTAAGCTATTGGATAAAATAGAATGTAAGTCCCTATACTCTTAGTATATTTGTAATTTAGTCTATTTATTTTTGTTTTTAACAAATTTAATCTCTATTTCTCATATTTAAGCATTCAAATTCAATTGTTAACATTGTTAAAATTTATTATTAAATCTCACCAACATTTACAAACATTGAAAGTTCTTACTAGAGATTATAGATTAATTTTACTCCTAGTCTATTTACAATCTTTTTTTACACATATGTAGATTCATAAACTGAAAGGGAATCCTCTTTCTTGGAATTCGATGCTAACTTTACCAGAAGAGTTACCAAATGTGAAGTCACCAATGCCATCATAAAGCAGCCTACTAAACTCATCTTCATCTCCATAATTTCCTGGTTGTTTGTTCTTTGGTTCATCATCTGCACCACTACTAGTGCTTCCGTCTTCGGATGACACAGTTGTGTTATTTTCGACGAGTTCTCGGAATACCGAAGATCGGAATAGAAGATCAAGTGCAGTAGGTGATGATGATGGTGATGTTGAAGAAGAAGAAGACCTGTATGTGTTTAATGGGATTTTTCTTTCGAAAACTTCTTGCTTTTCTGGTGATCTTAAGTAATGGTTTGTTGCTAAAGAGTGGTAAAATGAAGCCTTAGATTCGGGTTCCGCCATTGCCATTAATTCATTTGCAGAAACTGGATCACTTGTTCCCGATTTTAACCATCTGAAATATGTGCTCAAATCGAAGTTGGTCACTGCATTTATCCCTCTATATTCAATTACTGCAATGTCATAAGCCCGAGCAGCCTCCTCTTGGGTGCCTGCAGTGTTATAAGGACCAGTGTGTAAGTGTCGGATATGAATATATCATGTTAAGTTTCTAAATTTTTCTGTGTCGGATACGAATACTTGAAAAGAGTCGGAATAACGTATATAGATATACACTTACTGTAAGTGCCAAGGTAGAGATATTTGTTCCCAAAGACTCTCCCTATTCTTGCTTCCCATCTTCCATTGTGATGGTGCCTGCATTATTCATGCAAAGAAATCTTAGAATTTGTGTTTTGTTTAAAAATTTGAAAATATTCATCATCTATATTATTCCAACTTTTTATTTTTCTCGAATATTTTTGTCTCAGAAAACTTTTCATGGATAATAACCAGAGATTCTTAACAGAAGTACCTTGCAACTCCCCTATACTTGGATATACCTCTTGAAAACCCACTGCTCTTTCTGAAAGAAATTCAAATTGGCATACATTAATTAGTAACAATAACCTCTAGAATTTAAATATAAGTAAATAAATTTGTGATTTTGATATACATATAATCATATATATACATAAAATAGATTACCTTCTTAATGATGCCAAGTACTCTTCTTTTGTCACAGTTTGCATAATTTCAATCTCTTTTTCATAGTCTGATATCTGCAGAAATCATTCAAGGGAGTTAGATCACTTCTTACATATTACATTCATCAATGTATCTTCAGACTAATAGAAGGCCCTGAATCTGAGCATAAGCAAGTTCGAGATTCGAATCTCCATTTCGGCAACCGTTTCTCGTATAGGAAAAAACTAACAGAAGGTGGTAGTTACCGGGAAATTGGTGACAGTTGATGTCCCCCAATACTTAAGTGCAGCTAAATCATATGCTCTCGCAGAAGCTTCTTCATCATCGTAAGCTCCTGAAAATTTAGGAAAACGAGAAGAACATGTTTCATTTCTCAGTATCATAGAAAGAGATTTTTGTTTTAAAAAAGCGAGACTTGACATTTAACAGTGATCGAGATGCACTCAACAAGATAAACTGCAGGATCCCCAAGAGTCAAATTATCAGCAGGAATCCATGGAGGAACATAGAATCATACAATAAATACATACGCATCTATGAATCGAAAATGATGATCCCGAAAAAAGGAGAAGGGAAATGAAACAGAGAATGAAAGATTACCTTGTTTCCCTTTCTTCTTCTGTGTAACATTCCAAGAAAGCTTATCCCACAAGTGAGCTTCATATCTCCCAGTCCATCTATGCCTGTTCATTTTCACATTGTTAAAAGTTGGCCAAACTCGAAAGAAACCAACGTCACGGTTGCTATCATGGGGTTTGGAATTAGAAAGGTCTGGTTTTGTAGCTTCTGATACCACGGAACCTCGAGCTTCTTTTCACAGTGGTAGCAGCAATGGTTTGTTGATCATTTTGTTGCTGGGGTTGAACCAGGCCTTGATTGCCATCAAATCCAACTGCATCCGATGCCGGACTTCGTTGCCGTTTCTTGACACACCTCAAGTTCTGAACCTCATGTAACACCCCAATTTAGGGGCTAAATTTAAGAAATTATAAAGTGGTGGATTTAATTGGTATTTTTGAAAGAAACGGGGGATTAAATTGTAAGATTTTAAAGTTGGCAGACCGTTTTAAGAAGTACAGGAAATTCAGTGGCTAAACCCATGATTTAACCATTTTTTATATATGTTGAAATATAATCCCCCACCCGTGCTCAGTTTCTGGAAATTTTTCCAGTTTCCCTCTCCCGTCAACCCCTCTTTGAACTCCGATCTACTCGCCGTCCGACCTCCGATCGATGAGCCGAAACCACCATCGTGTTCGTTGTCAATCGAGAAACAAAACCCCTCAAACCTTTCGTCGTGAATCATCGTTGTTCGTCGTGAATTTCAGCGGAAGTATCGTCGGTAATAACTCGTTTTAGTTGGTTTTTCATCGATTCACGACGATCCGATGATCCGTTTACGATACCTCCCGCACCATCGTGTTCCTTGTGCCGTTCCGAGTCCACCGGTGTTCTCCTTTTTCTCCGGCAGCGACAGCGCGTGTGGAGGTGAAGCGGTCAAAGTTTCCGACGTTTTAAAATCGAGCTCTCCGCCGTTCAAAATTGTGAACCGAGCTTTGTAAGTATCTCGAAATCGCTCAAAATAATTTTTAGAAATTTTTCTGTGAATTTTACGCTGCCGGAACAGTGCCCACGCGCCCCCACGCGCCGCCACTGCGAGTGGGGATAGTCTAAATGACCGGTTTGACCGGTTTTAGTGAATAGTTGACCGGTTTGACCGGTCACAACCCGACCCGACCCATTGAACCGACCCGACCCGGCCCGTTTACCCAACCCGTTGACCCGACCCGTTGACCGTTGACCGACGTTGACCACTGTTGACCAAAACTTTGACCGGCTTTGATCGGGTATTAAACGACCTTTGACTTCGACCGAGTATACCTATCCTGACATTTTTTGACGTTCCAAATCTGATTCCGCTGTCCGCTTTTCGAAATTCGAACCCGAATGCCTCAAAATTACCGGTCAAACCCGTTGACTTTGATTTTGACCGAAAATTCCAAATTTCCGAAAAGTCATATTTTATGCTTTCGACGTCCTGAATCCGAATCCGAAGTCCGTTTCACCAAATTCGAACCCGGTAAGCCGTCTTTCACTGATTTATCACCCGATTCGATCCGTTTATCGTAATTAAGCTCCTTTTCTGATATAATTTCTGTTTATATGGATCCGAGGAAATATTGGAAGTTGAATTGAAGATCAAAGGTGTTCGAATGGAATTTTTATGGTCGATCAGTATTGCACGGAAATCGAGGTAATACTTTACTATCTCTTTATGCTTTATGGAACATGTGAATATTGGTAAATGCATGATTAAGATAATGTTGGTCTCATTTGTGTAGTTAATTAGTTTCTACACTCGATCTGAATACGGTAAAAGGGTTCAGTACTTGATTATGGTTCAGATGATTTCTATAAGAAATTGAGGGATTGTTAGAATTAAATTACAAGTTCTGTGCTTAGTGATAAAGAAATCAACATGGGTTTGTAACTTATAGTTTATTTCATCAAAGGTTAAATGTTAAAGGTACTTGGATGGGAAATTATGATAATACTCCGGTAGGGTAAAATTACGAAAATACCCTTAAGTTGGAAAATGACAAGAATTGTCTCTGGAAGTGGATTAATAAATCTGAAAAGAATTATTGATCTACTAAAACTGTTGATGTACATAAGAAATGTTAGTTTTACTTGGAAATTATGGATAACCGGTTTTTAACCCCAAGAAGGTTTATGCTAGATACTAGAAGTCTTTTAAGGAATCATTTCAAGATCAAAGAATGTTCGAGGAAGCAATTAATCATAGGATCTCTATATTATATTATTTTTGTTAAGAGTTAATATCAAAATTATCTGATTAAGAAATTACGAAAATGCCCTTGAGAGATAAAATAGTCTGAATTGACCCTGAATGAGAAAGTACTTTGAGGATTTGTACTTAACTCGATTAAGTACGAATTTAATTGTTAAGATCCTGTCTTTGTACAGAAAAATTTATGATATTCCGTTTGTAAAATCTGAGAAGACACTTGACCCGAAAATATTCGAATAATGAGTAAATACTTGAAGAGTAATTTATCGGGGTATTCTGCTGTTAGAATTGTTCGAAAGGACTGAAGTAAATGATAATATTGAATTAAATAATAAGATCGGATAGCAGAAAAAGATTAAAATACCGTAGATCTGTAAAATAACCAAAATACCCCTGTAATGGAAATGACTCAAGAATGTTACCAAGCTAAGGAATGATTGGATATCCTCGAGCTCTGAAATGAATGGAATAAAACTGAACACCAAAATTACCAAAATACCCTTTTGGCCTATATTAAGTAAATGCCTTGGATTAATTAAGGAATCCAAATAAGCATAGGTATTGGACTACCTTTAAAAGTTATGGAACATAACTTAAGTGAGCCGATCAACCTTAATAATATGTCAGTACCTGAACGACATAGATATTACTTGAATGCGTGTTCGTCTTCTCAAGTTTGGCTCAATGATAAATTTTGGAAGTATTCAACTCAGCTCAACTCTAGATCGTATTCAATATTAAGAATTAGACGTTTGTTCGACAATCAACCACGAAGACCAAATTGAATGGAATGGAAGTACAACATTTATCTGAAATTCAGGAACGTTTGAATTATCTGGAAAATCCTGAAGTAACTGGAATGGAGATGACTGCTAAATGAAATAGGTAACCTCAATGACTGAGGATTTAGTAAGTGATTTGGATAAGTCTAGAAACTCTGATGAGTTTACGTAGTGTACAATTACAATGGGTTATGAACAAATTAATCAAGTACGTCATCATTTTATGATATTGTGGAAGCGTGGAAATGAAATAAAGACATTGGAAGATTTATTCAGCGATGATTCTGAAAATGGTCTACGGACAAGAATTTGTGGTATTAAAGAGTAAATACCCTAGAAGGAAAATGAATTGATCAGTCGACATAGATTGTTAAGGTTCTGAATCTTCGTTCTCAAGTTGTTCAATTATCCAATCAATTGACATGGATATAAATGATTCTGAATACCCTTCTGATTACATACAACTTCTGAAAACTGTCCAATTAAGATATGATCCTGATAATTCACATTCTGAATAACTGATGATTATGTCAGTTATTGAACTTTTCCAATAGTATTTCTAACGTCCGGTATTTTATCGGTATACTGAAAATCCGTGTTTCTCTCCCTGCTAAGATTATTTAGCATCTCTGAATAATATCTGTAAACTCTGGTGTGTTCCCTAATCATAAATATTTATCTGATTTCCGACTTGAATTCTGTTCTGATAAATGACCTGAATTCTGTTCTGATTTCTGATCTGGATTCTGTTCTGAATTCTGTTTTGATTTCTGATATCTTCGTTTAATGACGGAAAAATGTTTTAATTGGGGGGTATTGTTGAAGGAAGAATTTTCGCAGGTACCTCGGCTTTGTGCTCAGGGCCTTATATGTTGTGTTGGGTTGGGTGTATGGTTCTGGGGAACCTACACATTATGTTGTGATGGGATGTGGGTATATATATATATATATATATGTTTTAAAAAGATCTGAAAAGTTACATGGTTTTTGGGAACACACTAGAAAACCTATTCTGATCTCCTGAACCTAGACATCCGAAATATTTCCATCTGGAATGAATACTATTTGTTACTACCTGAAATATCCGTAGAATCTCAGCTCAGTATAAAGATCTGTAAATGTCTGAATCGATAAGGAAAAATATGTTTATTTGTATCTGCACGTTCTTCAGCATCATCTGGTAGTTCTGTATTACTGAGCTTTTCGAAGCTCACTCTATTACTCACCTTTTCAGGTTAAAAGAATTGTACCAGTGCATCTATCGACTTCAGTAAGGGAGTTCTTTCGGCGTTGTTGCAGAGTATGGTACATGTGATGAGGGGGCATATAATTGTATTATGATTTATATATGAGTCTGAAAATCTGTTTTATTTTTAAATAGCGACAAATGATTTTATAAGTTTGCATTTTCTGATAAAAAGTTTTAAATTTTCTGCTATTTTTACAGTGGGTCGCTCCGGTGGCCCTAATGTGACTTCCCGGATCGGATCGGGCTACCCACATCGGTCCGGGGGGTTACATTTAGTGGTATCAGAGCTATGGTTTGAGTTAAAATTTTCAAGTTAGACCGACCGGTCGAATGTCAAAATATGTCTGATCAGTACATGCCCCTAGACTATGATCATACCTCTCTGAGCCGGAACTCCAGGGCTGAGTCCCTATATGTAACGAATAAACCGAAGTTTCTATCCGTTAAGGTTATACTTGTACAAAAAGGAATACTAGTAACATCTGTCTAAATGCTGTAAAGTATCTCATGAGCCATGTGAGAGTTATTTATTTGAAAGATTCTGACTTGACTCCAGAAATTAAATTGGGATATGCTACTGTTCTATGAGCATATTCTCATGACCAAGACTGAATTGATTACTCAATGCCATTTTCGTTCGGATTCTTTTATTGAAATGAGAGAGAGTTCTGATAAGAATGTATACTCAACTGGTTAAGGATTAGTGAATGATCTGTGTTTCTAGATACGAAAAAAAAAACTGATGAAAGTTTTATTTTTGCAATAATGTGACATGAATGAATTTCGAGGACGAAATTCTTTTAAGGAGGGGAGAATTGTAACACCCCAATTTAGGGGCTAAATTTAAGAAATTATAAAGTGGTGGATTTAATTGGTATTTTTGAAAGAAACGGGGGATTAAATTGTAAGATTTTAAAGTTGGCAGACCGTTTTAAGAAGTACAGGAAATTCAGTGGCTAAACCCATGATTTAACCATTTTTTATATATGTTGAAATATAATCCCCCACCCGTGCTCAGTTTCTGGAAATTTTTCCAGTTTCCCTCTCCCGTCAACCCCTCTTTGAACTCCGATCTACTCGCCGTCCGACCTCCGATCGATGAGCCGAAACCACCATCGTGTTCGTTGTCAATCGAGAAACAAAACCCCTCAAACCTTTCGTCGTGAATCATCGCCGTTCGTCGTGAATTTCAGTCGGAAGTATCGTCGGTAATAACTCGTTTTAGTTGGTTTTTCATCGATTCACGACGATCCGATGATCCGTTTACGACACCTCCCGCACCATCGTGTTCCTTGTGCCGTTCCGAGTCCACCGGTGTTCTCCTTTTTCTCCGGCGGCGGTAGCGCGTGTGGAGGTGAAGCGGTCAAAGTTTCCGACGTTTTAAAATCGAGCTCTCCGCCGTTCAAAATTGTGAACCGAGCTTTGTAAGTATCTCGAAATCGCTCAAAATAATTTTTAGAAATTTTTTCTGTGAATTTTACGCTGCCGGAACAGTGCCCACGCGCCCCCACGCGCCGCCACTGCGAGTGGGGATAGTCTAAATGACCGGTTTGACCGGTTTTAGTGAATAGTTGACCGGTTTGACCGGTCACAACCCGACCCGACCCATTGACCCGACCCATTGACCCGACACGACCCGGCCCGTTTACCCAACCTGTTGACCCGACCCGACCCGTTGACCGTTGACCGACGTTGACCACTGTTGACCAAAACTTTGACCGGCTTTGATCGGGCATTAAACGACCTTTGACTTCGACCGAGTATACCTATCCTGACATTTTTCGACGTTCCAAATCTGATTCCGCTGTCCGTTTTTCGAAATTCGAACCCGAAGGCCTCAAAATTACCGGTCAAACCCGTTGACTTTGATTTTGACCGAAAATTCCAAATTTCCGAAAAGTCATATTTTATGCTTTCGACGTCCTGAATCCGACTCCGAAGTCCGTTTCGCCAAATTCGAACCCGGTAAGCCATCTTTCACTGATTTATCACCCGATTCGATCCGTTTATCGTAATTAAGCTCCTTTTCTGATATAATTTCTGTTTATATGGATCCGAGGAAATATTGGAAGTTGAATTGAAGATCAAAGGTGTTCGAATGGAATTTTTATGGTCGATCAGTATTGCACGGAAATCGAGGTAATACTTTACTACCTCTTTATGCTTTATGGAACATGTGAATATTGGTAAATGCATGATTAAGATAATGTTGGTCTCATTTGTGTAGTTAATTAGTTTCTACACTCGATCTGAATACGGTAAAAGGGTTCAGTACTTGATTATGGTTCAAATGATTTCTATAAGAAATTGAGGGATTGTTAGAATTAAATTACAAGTTCTGTGCTTAGTGATAAAGAAATCAACATGGGTTTGTAACTTATAGTTTATTTCATCAAAGGTTAAATGTTAAAGGTACTTGGATGGGAAATTATGATGTTAAAGGTACTTGGATGGGAAATTATGATAATACTCCGGTAGGGTAAAATTACGAAAATACCCTTAAGTTGGAAAAATGACAAGAATTATCTCTGGAAGTGGATTAATAAATCTGAAAAGAATTATTGATCTACTAAAACTGTTGATGTACATAAGAAATGTTAGTTTTACTTGGAAATTATGGATAACCGGTTTTTAACCCCAAGAAGGTTTATGCTAGATACTAGAAGTCTTTTAAGGAATCATTTCAAGATCAAAGAATGTTCGAGGAAGCAATTAATCATAGGATCTCTATATTATATTATTTTTGTTAAGAGTTAATATCAAAATTATCTGGTTAAGAAATTACAAAAATGCCCTTGAGAGATAAAATAGTCTGAATTGACCCTGAATGAGAAAGTACTTTGAGGATTTGTACTTAACTCGATTAAGTACGAATTTAATTGTTAAGATCCTGTCTTTGTACAGAAAAATTTATGATATTCCGTTTGTAAAATCTGAGAAGACACTTGACCCGAAAAATATTCGAATAATGAGTAAATACTTGAAGAGTAATTTATCGGGGTATTCTGCTGTTAGAATTGTTCGAAAGGACTGAAGTAAATGATAATATTGAATTAAATAATAAGATCGGATGGCAGAAAAAGATTAAAATACCGTAGATCTGTAAAATGACCAAAATACCCCTGTAATGGAAATGACTCAAGAATGTCACCAAGCTAAGGAATGATTGGATATCCTCGAGCTCTGAAATGAATGGAATAAAACTGAACACCAAAATTACCAAAATACCCTTTTGGCCTATATTAAGTAAATGCCTTGGATTAATTAAGGAATCCAAATAAGCATAGGTATTGGACTACCTTTAAAAGTTATGGAACATAACTTAAGTGAGCCGATCAACCTTAATAATATGTCAGTACCTGAACGACATAGATATTACTTGAATGCGTGTTCGTCTTCTCAAGTTTGGCTCAATGATAAATTTTGGAAGTATTCAACTCAGCTCAACTCTAGATCGTATTCAATATTAAGAATTGGACGTTTGTTCGACAATCAACCACGAAGACCAAATTGAATGGAATGGAAGTACAACATTTATCTGAAATTCAGGAACGTTTGAATTACTCTGGAAAATCCTGAAGTAACTGGAATGGAGATGACTGCTAAATGAAATAGGTAACCTCAATGACTGAGGATTTAGTAAGTGATTTGGATAAGTCTGGAAACTCTGATGAGTTTACGTAGTGTACAATTACAATGGGTTATGAACAAATTAATCAAGTACGTCATCATTTTATGATATTGTGGAAGCGTGGAAATGAAATAAAGACATTGGAAGATTTATTCAGCGATGATTCTGAAAATGGTCTACGGACAGGAATTTGTGGTATTAAAGAGTAAATACCCTAGAAGGAAAATGAATTGATCAGTCGACATAGATTGTTAAGGTTCTGAATCTTCGTTCTCAAGTTGTTCAATTATCCAATCAATTGACATGGATATAAATGATTCTGAATACCCTTCTGATTACATACAACTTCTGAAAACTGTCCAATTAAGATATGATCCTGATAATTCACATTCTGAATAACTGATGATTATGTCAGTTATTGAACTTTTCCAATAGTATTTCTAACGTCCGGTATTTTATCGGTATACTGAAAATCCGTGTTTCTCTCCCTGCTAAGATTATTTAGCATCTCTGAATAATATCTGTAAACTCTGGTGTGTTCCCTAATCATATAAATATTTTATCTGATTTCCGACTTGAATTCTGTTCTGATAAATGACCTGAATTCTGTTCTGATTTCTGATCTGGATTCTGTTCTGAATTCTGTTTTGATTTCTGATATCTTCGTTAATGACGGAAAAATGTTTTAATTGGGGGGTATTGTTGAAGGAAGAATTTTCGCAGGTACCTCGGCTTTGTGCTCAGGGCCTTATATGTTGTGTTGGGTTGGGTGTATGGTTCTGGGGAACCTACACATTATGTTGTGATGGGATGGGGGTATATATATATATATATATGTTTTAAAAGATCTGAAAAGTTACATGGTTTTTGGGAACACACTAGAAAACCTATTCTGATTTCCTGAACCTAGACATCCGAAATATTTCCATCTGGAATGAATACTATTTGTTACTACCTGAAATATCCGTAGAATCTCAGCTCAGTATAAAGATCTGTAAATGTCTGAATCAATAAGGAAAAATATGTTTATTTGTATCTGCACGTTCTTCAGCATCATCTGGTAGTTCTGTATTACTGAGCTTTTCGAAGCTCACTCTATTACTCACCTTTTCAGGTTAAAAGAATTGTACCAGTGCATCTATCGACTTCAGTAAGGGAGTTCTTTCGGCGTTGTTGCAGAGTATGGTACATGTGATGAGGGGGCATATAATTGTATTTTGATTTATATATGAGTCTGAAAATCTGTTTTATTTTTAAATAGCGACAAATGATTTTATAAGTTTGCATTTTCTGATAAAAAGTTTTAAATTTTCTGCTATTTTTACAGTGGGTCGCTCCGGTGGCCCTAATGTGACTTCCCGGATCGGATCGGGCTACCCACATCGGTCTGGGGGGTTACACCTCACCTTCAACGACTGAGCTTAACCGGCGTCGACGACTTCCTAGGCATTGTTGTTCGTTAACCATAATCATTTCCATCTCTTGTCACCTTGATATTCTTTCTTCTCTCTTTTGTTTGTTTTCCCCTTCAATAGCTGCTGGACTCATAGGAAACTAAAGAGTCGAGGCATATATAATGTGGTTACCGAAATTGGAGTTATTATGTTCCGTTATGGTTGTGGACAACTGTTTGTTTAGTACAAAACAAGTGTGTGTCGATGATCTCTATGAACAATGAAGACAAATTTGCAATGTCCCGACGAATTTCAGATGTCCCAAATATATATTCTGAATGACTAAATGCAGTTGCTGATAAAAATAGTGGACTGATTATATGCAGTTGAATAGTTAACAACCATTGAACGATTAAATTATGCTTCGTTTAAGTAATTTTTTCAACTAAAATCAGAGGGAATTTCTTGTACTTTCTCCCAACCAGGAATTAAATAATTTCATATTGTTTAATCACAAGAATTTTATGCTCCTTGATTCCATAGGAAACTCAGTCCATTTAGGCTTCGCTACGGGAACAGACTCGCCCCTGTCCACAGACTACCACGAAATAAGGTACCGAGTACCGACAGTCAGCCAGTTGGAAAGAGAAAAAATCCAACGGAGAATCCGAAGGCAAAAACACTGTTGAAGAGTGTACACTATTGAAGTACCAAGTTTTGTTTTCAACAGGTTGACAGCATATGACGTTTCAACTCTTTCATACAAAACAAGCAAGCTCAAAGGAATTCCCAAACAATTTATAGTAAATATAGCCTACGCAGTTTGTTATGCATCTGAAACAGTTACATTAAACTTTTAAGTCATAAACAAGTATTTTGTTTGTTTTTGTTTTTGTTTTAGACAGCTGCAGCTCATTGGGTTTAAAGAGATGAGTTGTAAGTTATATGAAGCATGGAAGAATCAATGGAATTCCATGGACTGAACTTATGAATCTGTTGGGGTTTCAAGTTTTTATGGTTAATTAGAATTCTAAAACTTGTTGCACTGAAAGACTTGATTTCTTAATGAAAGCCATTAATTGATCAAATACTCCTCACCTTATGTAGATTCGAATTTCAGTATTTATCTTGAAAATATAATCTCTCTATGTTTTACTAAAAATTTGATTTCTCTTAGGATTGCTGCAATATGTTTGACTATTAATTATCATCATAAGATCGATTCCCCGCAACTCCATTTTCTCTTCCCTAGTTTTTGTTGGCATTTATGTATAAACAATCAGAAACAGACAACACAAGTCAGCTGTATTCAAAGGAAAATCAACAACACCGTCTCAAGAATTTGAGAGCAGCTTTTCAGATAATGTTTAAATCAGTAACCCTCAACAGCAATTGGTGCTAAATTTTCTTAGTCTCTAGACTCTAACCCTATTTTGTCATCATAAAAATGGCACTGAATATCAATGCAATTGAAGTTATGTGAAGATGTGGAAAACCGGGCCTATACACCATCAACTTTCTGCTTCATGCTCTTAACCAACTTTGTCCACACTCAATTCTACAAATTATAGGTGCATCTCTAATTGACCCCTGAGTCGGGTTCTACTTCTTCTAGCAGGGCCAGGGTATAGTATAATGTTCCTTTCACATCGAGTGTGAAATGAGACGGATCAACATCATTATTAAGCCCTTGGAGTTCCCATCTTGTCTGCGACATGAGACCTAAGAGGAATGGTTTTCGTAAAAAGAAAATGACTTTTTCAACTGTTTTCCTTTTCCCGCTTACAATGTGAAGCTCGAGAACTTTGTTGATATCAAGAGGGACTTCCGGTGGGTAATCCCTACCCCCCGAGTCCTGATTTGCATGCATCTCAACCTCAACTCCACTGCACTGCAGGGGCAACATCTGAATTCTCCATTCATCCTGCACAAGTTTCACAATCACAACTACATGTGAGAGAAAGTCCCGGGCCGACTGAATATGGGGACAGAACCTGAAAAGATGCCCATTTGTTAGCATAATCGTGAATTCCAAACACCGTTTCGAGTTCAGTCAAGTAAATTGCACTTGTATGTTCCATATTTTAAGCAAGCAATGAACGCGGAAATAATGTAAATGCAGCAGCTACAACTCTATTAACTAAATGCTAACCCTGTTTAGCATCTATGCTCAAATTTTCTTACAAATCATGTGTTTTTCCATTCCATTCTTGCACTTCTCATGTATTATATAGTCCCAGGCAAGTGACGAGTTTTAATGGCCAGTTTAGCCGTGCTTTTCCCAATCAACTAAAGCTATTTGAATAGATCAGTACTACAAACCAGATAATACTTTCAAACTATGCCTTTGCCGAGTTTAAACAAGCATGAAAAAGTTAGAGTTTCCAAATTATCCCTTTGCCAAGTTTCAACTTATGTCATATATATAGGTTCGAGAAAAATCAATAGTTGGAGTATGACAGCTTACTTTCCTTTTTTTGTTGTTATGATGTTAATCATGTTATATAACAAATCAGAATCAGACAACACAAGTCAGCTGTATTGCATTCAAAGTAAATAATATCCATACAATCTCAAGAATTTGGAGCAGCTTTTCAGATAATGTTAAAATCAGTAACCCTCAACAATGATGGTGCTAATTTTTCTTAGTCTCTTTCTCTCTAAATCTATTTTGTCCTCTTAAAAATGGCACTGCATATCAGTGCAAGATGTGGAAATGGGAGCCTATACACGTTTATTTGGATCATTCCCTCTTGAATTTGATATATAATCCAAAAGCAAGCAATCATCTACTTTCTGTTTAATGCTCTCAAGTCTCAACCCACTTTGTCATCAGCTGTCTACACTCAATATTACAACTTCCCAAAGGAAACAAAGAAACCACAACAAACAACAGAGAAAATGTCGGCACGAACCGAAGTCTTCCACTCTATGTTGTCAGAGTTCTAAGATCGGAACAATTAGTCTTTCTGAATAATCAACTCAGAAAACCCTCATTCTAATTGTACATCAGCACAGCTCAGAATCACAATGAGAAGAATCCCGATATCACGCCACTAGTTAATGAAACGGTATAGTTTCAACAATCTAAAGTCTGAAAATAATGTCATGCCAAAACTTATCTTGATGGTTCTCTGTCGTCGGATGCAAATTCTTTCCATGTCAGATGTACCACATGACTTACCAAGTATCTTTTAAACGACCATTAAGGCAAATAATTAAAATCAGCGAAAGAAAAAGCAAACAAAAAGTTTCCTTATGTTCTACGTTAGGGTCATGCCAGCATGACTGAATCGATGGAGGCGGCTCTGGCAGCGACACGATTTAGCTTGCCGACCACACTTGAACGTCCAAGTTCTCCGGTTCCTGTGTAGACCCAAAGGCAAACAAAAAAGGTAAGAAACGAGTCTGATTTGAATGACTCCCAGGAATGTAGGAGAGGCTCGGGTTCAGGTTGCTAGTGATGGCTTGGCTGATGATTATGATGTTGCCATGGGCGAGGCTGTGCAGGATGAGGGTGTTGGTGTTCAACAATTATGGCAACCAACGAACAGGGCGCCGAGATCCTATGCCGCTACGTTAGTCAGAACTTTGAGAGGATGACAGACCAGAAGTCCTGACTTTGGAGTTGACGATGTTGTGCTTCAAGACGATGATGTAGTCGTTGTAGGAGCATCTCTTACCCTGTCATTCAATTCTCGAACCGATTCCATGACTCCATTGATTGCAATTTGCGAAAGACAATAATCTTTCAACTCTCGGAGATGACGATTATAGAGTTCTATGAAATAAAATTAAATTACTCTGGTAACCTGAGGGTCGACTTTAGCTCGTTGATCTCGATAATGAAGAATATCCTGTTCGCCTGGAACAAGAAAGTGACTACACGAAAGTGCTAAAGGAAGGGTCGTGAGTGATCTTTGAGATCTACTTGAAAATATAACTCTCTCATGTAATTGTTTGCTTTTAATTGTCAGGACGTCCTTATCGTTACTGCACTAAATCTCTTTTCCAATTGATTGCTGATGAGATTAAAAAAAATATCAAAGTGGACTACAGTACAAATGCGGGCGAGAGAAAAATTTGCACAATTAATAGTGGCTGTGGATCTAGGGAGGGTAAGTTCTCCAAGCATCCGACGGGTTTCGATCTAATCTGATTTAATTAAATAGAGTTTTTTTTAAAAGAATTTGAGTTTGGGTCGAGTTGGATTTTTTAAAGGGTGAAATTTGGTCGGATTTGAGTGGATGGAAAAAAAATTGACCCGACCCAACCTGTGGATAATATTGTATTTTTCTTAAAAATTTTATTGTTTTTTAATTAAATCTTTAATTTGTATTGGGTCGAGTTCGATTTGTACTCTAAAAAATCGGATTAGGTCAAAGTCGGATAGAGGATATATATTTTTTCTGGTCGGATCGGGTTGAGTGTAAGATATAAAATTTGTAGGTCGGATTGAATTTGGGTGGAGGATACATATTTTCGGGTTGGATCGGGCTGATCAAAAACCCGACCCGTTACCATCCTGTGGATCTTAATAAACCTCTATTATCGTGTATTGAGGTAGATGGATTTATGTAACAATTGGAGTATGAAGGTTTGCAAAATATCTATAACAAATGTGGAATCTATGGGTACTCTCAGGACTTATGTGGTGTAACCATGGCAAAACAAGCTATCCTGAAGGAGGAAAATGCCACTTGCTTGCCTCCAACGACGGGTAGGTGACGATCTTTATGATTTGTGGATGGTGGTGACGAATCGTCAAAGACAGCCCGACAAACCGACTGTTGCTTTGGATGGCAATGATGGAATGAATGATCCAACTTCCAAAGTCAAATATGATGCACTAGCTTTTGTGCCAGAGGGGTCGAGTAAAAAATATAAATCCCAATGTTGCAAATTCAACAGCCCCACCAACAAGGGTTATTTCGATTGATGGTCAGGACAAGGGGAGACGGTATCTATTTTGGGAGATAATGTTTCGATGTCACTAAGAGGTCGAACAGGAAAGTCTTCTAAGGTTCTTCTAAACCGAGTTATGCCTTTGAAAGAGAAAATTGTGCAAGTGGGGTCTTATGGGTTTGAGAAAGCAACCATAGTAGCCAGAGTTGATGAAGGGA